TTAGGCGAGCTGTACTGAAGAATGGTTGGTTGCTAATACTTCTCTGAAATGAAATGACAAGAAGAGTTTCTTCGTGGTTGCGTTTTCCTGATAAGGATCTGGGCCATGGTGGGGAGGAGATGAATAATTTCTTGATTCTCTGCATTATAGGGTTTATTACTTTATTTGAAAAAGTAATCCTCTCCGGGTTAACCGGTCAAATTTGGGTCAATGATCCGATCAACTATAATTAAAGTAATAATATTTTATATTATATTAGTTAATATTTTAAATTTAAAAAAAATTATTTAAATTTTTTCACTCCCTCATCTTGTTTAATGTCTTTTATATACTTCCTCCATCCCATAAAGATTGAGACGGTTTGACAAAAGTGGTAAAATAAGGAGAGATAATTTTGTGTTGACTTTCCAAAAATACCTTTGATGTGATGGGTAAAAGTAAGATGTGATGAGTATATTATATGGAAAAATATATGATATGATAGGTAGGATATGAAAAAGTAAGGGGTAAAAGTGGTTTTTTAATAGGAATGAGACAAACTTTAATGGATGCAAATTTTTTGAAACGGGACTGAATTTATGGGATGAAGGGAGTACTATATATTAGTAACATTTTTTTATGGAAAAATTACCCAAAATAATCCCAACTTTACCCGGTCTTTCAAAAATAATCTCACCTTTCACTGTGATACATAATAATCCCAACTTTACTGAAATTTGCCAGTTTTGGGTCGCCGTTAAGTTTCTAACGGAAGGTTAACGGAAATGCCCGTTTTAGGCAACAAAATGAAAGTTGGGATTATTTTTGATGAATTTTAATTTTTTTTTATTTTATTTAAATTTTTCATTTAAATTTTTTAAATTACTTTCTACCTCCATCATCATTTCTTTTTCCTTTTCTAAAGATTAGTCTTAGTTTAAAAAATATAAAAATAGATATAAAAAATGAAAAAATGAGAAATGTAACTAAAATGATAAGAAATACAAAAATAATAAAATAAATAAAGTAATCAATGGAAACTAACTTGAAATTGGTAAAAGTAAAATAAAAATATACGGGTGGGTTTTCATATTTTGTGCATTATACAAAGTATTAACATATCACTTCTTATTTTTTTAGAAAAAATAATCTACAATAATTCCAACTTTACTAGACGGCTTGTGCTTTTAAAAAATAAGTAGTACATTGAGACTTCGTATAGTGTGTAAAATGTTAAAACCCACCACTTCGTATATATTTATTTTATTTCTTACCAGTTTCTGTTTAATTTCTATTGATTACATTTTTTATTTGATTAATTTTGTATGGTTTTAGTTATTTTTCTCATTTTCATTATTTTTTATATCTATTTTTTTTTAAGGTAAGAATAATCTTTAAAAAAGAAAAAGGAATGGAGGTTGAAAGTAATTCAAAAAATTTAAATAAAAATTTCAAAAAAATTAAAAAACAAAAATTCATCAAAAATAATCCCAACTTTCATTTTGTTGCCTAAAACGGGCATTTCCGTTAACCCTCCGTTAGAAATTTAACGGCGACCCAAAACTGGCAAATTTCAATAAAGTTGGGATTATTATGCATCACAGTGAATGGTGAGATTATTTTTGAAAGACTGGGTAAAGTTGGGATTATTTTGGGTAATTTTTCCTTTTTTTATTTATATTTTTTTGTTTATAAAGAGAAAAATAGGCGCAAAAATAAATTTTAGAATATTAAATTACTCCGTGTACAATTATTAAATGTTGCTCCACACTAAATTTTTAAAGCTGAATTTTTTTATATAAATAATTTATATTTACTTTTCGAAAAAGAATAATAAATGTTTTTTCTTTAAACTAATTTAGAATTTCATAAAACAAATACATTAAACATGCCTGTTTATTAGAAGTTTTTATCAATATACAAGTCGATATATAGCATGTTGTGAGACATATGTAACAAATGGTGTATTAGCTTTAATGGTAGTAAGAGTGTCTTGAGTTGACTTCTCATAGGTTGTGGTTCTTCAGTTCTTCATGCCTCCACTTCGCTTTTTAATACTAAAAATAAAAAAAGGTTTTACATTCAAACTCACAACTCGGCCGGGCTGACCCAGGTCACTCGGCTCAGCGGGACTGACAGATTTTGGCGGGTCAACAACAAAACAAGATTGGCTAATGAACTAGACCGGCCAGTCCTATCCTCTTTTCAAAACACTGTCTCTAACACACACACACACAACGCATGGATATACCAATGTTAGTAAACTCAGATTTGGGTTGGCAGTCAGATCGATTGAACCGTAATTGGGACACGTAACTGTTCCAGTCCAACTCAAAAATCTGTAAAACCTGGAAAAAACCAGGTTGACCCAGAAAAAATCAAGACTCAGAGCCTCCTCGTCGGTTTGATGTCCAACCCGGGTTTAAAACCATTGATTGGAATATACTCGTACTAAATACTTCAATTTGCTCTTAGAACAAATTCATCATTTAACTTTTAATTTTAATCATCATTTATATGTAAATATATTATATTACACTCATAATTCAAATTCAAAAACATTCAATTCAATGGAAGCATGTTGTTTCTCTACATTTATTGTTCCAGCTCCACTCTTGCGCTTAGAAAGTTGAAACTATAAGATTGAACACTTAATTTTTAAAAACAATGTTAGAATATACTCTCTACTCCTTATTACATTCATGTAATTTGTTTAAACGTAACCATAGATATCACTCGTCATTGCTCAAAATGTTCCATAAAAAAATGAGTAAGGTGCTTACAAGGTTCCTATATTTTTTTCGAAAGTTCTTCCCAAGTCCCCAAATTAATTATTTTACGTACTTACTTACAAGGTCCCTTTATTTTTTTGAAAGGGCTTCACGGGTACCTAAATTATATTTAGTGTTTATGTGATCCATGTTCTTTTTAACTAGTGCATTAGTGGCCCCTTTGGTGGATTTTTCAGACCAAGTCTCCTAAAATTATTGTAAGAATTGACGCTATATTATAAACCTTCGAATAACTTGTGCATGTTGCCCAAATAACTTTTGTGCACTTGATCTGAAAAATGTCACCAAAGGAACTACTAACACACCAATTAGAAAATATATGGATCTGATATGAACTAAAAAAAATTAAAGACCTATGAAGCTCTTTCAAAAATATATAGGGATCTAGTAAACACTTAAAATAATTCAGCAACTTGGGAAACACTTTCAAAGGCTTACACTATGTTTGGTTCAAGGAATTTGAAAGGGAAAAGAAAAGAAAATGAAGTGAAAAACCATTCTTCTTGTTTGGTTAGAGGGGAAAAGTAGAAGGAAAAGAAAATGAGGAGGCAAAATGTACCAAGTGGAGGGAAAATCAAATTCCTGCCATTTTGGTGAGGAAAATGAGAGAAAATCATTTTCTTTTCTTTTCCTTCCAAAATCTTTGAGCCAAACAGATAGAGATTCATATGGAAGTCTAGCTACGAAGTGGGGAGTGACTTGTAGGCCAGCCAAGGCTAGAGGTGCAACATTACTTTGAAGTGACTTTTTTGTCTGAGGGCCGGAGTACGCATACCTATGGCCCATGGAGGGGTCAATAATTGAGTTACGGGTGAGAAAAATACTACTCCGTAGTTTGTTTTTTAGATCGTTTGAAGAGAGTGAATGAAGGAGGCACGCACCCCAATAAGGCATCGGGCCTAGACAGTATGAATCTGGGTTTTTTTATTATCAAAAGACATGGAAATTTGGTCGGCGCTAACTCGTGTAACTTTATTCTCAGATGCTCGAATGAAGGGACATTTCTGGAAGATATGAATGAATGAAGTTACTATATAAATCTACAAATACTTAGCATATGTGTACGTACGTAAGTTAAAAGAAGCTTGGGCTTTTTCCTAAACACGAGTAGTTAGGGCCTCTGGAATCTGGATGGATTGGTCGGAATTTAGATATGGTAAAAGCTTTTGATCGGATGGAGTGGTCTTTCATTCAGACTGTGATAGAGCATTTTGGGCTTTGCTAGGCGTTGGATAGACCTTATTGTGTTGTGTGTCATGTTTCTCAAGTATCATATACACTTGTAAAGACTATCCTCATCACTCATTCGGTGTTTTTGCCTACGTGACAAGGTGATCCTCTTAGCTAGCCTCGATAAACTTTTATCATTTGGGCAGAATGATTGTCTAATATGCTTCTTCAGGGGGGGTGACTGTACAGGAGTGGTGCATGGGTTTAGGATTGCAAGTGGAACACCATCTATATAACTCATTTGTTGTTTTGCATATGTCAGTCTCCTTTTCATAATGGCCTATGGTAGAGGAATCTAGGGAGGTGCTATGTTGTCTCTCCAAGTATGAAGAAATAAAATTGATGTCTTCACTTATATTGCTGACAAATTACTGCAAAGGTTCATTTCCTAGAAGCGAAAGACTCTGTTTAAGGCAAGCAAAGAAGTCTTCAAATAGTTGCCCAGGATATGTCACAATATGTTATGAGTGTATTTCTTCTCCCTTGTTCATGCTTTTAACATGTGGGGCTATGTTCGGTGAGCAGGGGTGGAGATTTCTGACTTGTCCGAGTACCCATGTCTCCCGGGTTCTCAAGGCAAGGTACTTATCTCAGTCTTTTTTTTAATTCTAGAGGCCAAAGAGTTGCTCAATGAAGAACAAGGAGGCATGTTGGGAATCGAGAAGAGACCGGGGCTGGGGTTCTACATCGCTATAGGACCCGACGAATCCCTTTCTTACATCCCCGAAGGTGGCAGATTTTTTATTGATCATGGCGAGGGGATTTGGCGGGTGGGTGTCCTAAGGGGGCACTTAAACTGTATCATCTATATGTATAGTTTTCATCAAACAAGACCTATATTTTAAGCCCTCAAGTTCAAATGTCATGTTGATGAATTGGAGCCTGGAGAGTTATAACTACTCCCCGTGGTAATATGCTTTGTATTAAGTATATTAACCACTCCGAAATCAATCATCATACCCATCGATGATGACAACACTATACATTGATATTGATGGTCAAGAACACCAGTCTTTTTTAATTATAAAAAAAAAACACAAACAATTGAAACTTTTATTTTAAATGGAGAACAATTCAACTCTCGTACATGATGCATATATGAAGTTTAATGTGATTGAAAACTTTGAAAGGGGATGGGAACGGGGAAAAGAGCAAACTGTGTTGTTTAGAAGCATTTTCTGTGAACAATTGAAGGCCCAGACTCATCATACTCCGCCTTTGCTATCCACATCTGCAATTAATTCATGATAAGAAACCGCTTTAGTGTTTTGAGAAGATTATCTAGTGAGAGTGTTTAGCATTAACATTTTTAAAGTTAATATACACCATTAAAAATGATCTAAAACGCTAACTCTAATTGAAAATGTTGTTCCCAAACAAGACCCGAGCAGATTTGTAAAGTGCCTTGACAAAACACAACCAGTGGTTTAAAATGTGTTAGACACATTCCTTGGGTGCAGTGTAGACCAGAGTCTAGCACCTAAAACCCCTGTGCGGGGATTAATCAAGGTCTAGGGGGGTCTAAGACAGGGATAAATTGAATTGAAGGCGGCTATGGGAAACCTCTTGCGTAGGTGAGATTTTTATAGAACAGTGGGCACAACCATAATGCATGAACAAGAAACGTATGTAGTGGGGGGGGGGGGCATACCTGCTGGAATGTACTAAGAGAGGCCAAAATAGACCCTCCAATCCACACACTATATTTCCTCTCAGGTGGAGCAACCACCTTGATCTTCATGCTACTTGGAGCCAGTGCAGTGATCTCCTTACTCATCCGGTCAGCAATGCCAGGGAACATTGTGGTTCCACCACTGAGGACGATATTTCCGTACAGATCCTTTCTAATATCGACATCGCACTTCATGATGGAATTGTATGTGGTTTCATGAATGCCAGCAGCTTCCATCCCAATAATGGAGGGCTGGAACAGAACCTCCGGGCAGCGGAACCTCTCGGCCCCAATGGTGATCACCTGCCCATCGGGCAGCTCGTACGTCTTTTCAACACCCGAGCTTGTCTTTGATGTTTCTAGCTCTTGTTCGTAGTCCAAAGCAATGTAGGCTAGCTTCTCCTTCACGTCCCTCACAATTTCACGCTCCGCAGAAGTGGTGAAAGTGTACCCTCTCTCTGTCAGTATCTTCATCAAGTGGTCAGTGAGGTCACGCCCAGCCAAATCAAGACGCAGAATTGCATGTGGAAGAGCATAACCTTCATAGATAGGCACTGTGTGGCTGACTCCGTCTCCGGAGTCCAGTACAATTCCTGGCAACAAGTGAAAACCCGACTACATGAATTACTATTGAGGATCAAATTCATGTCTGTGTGTGCATATTCTTTACTGATTTAAAAAAATAATTCTCCCTCTGTGTTTCATTAATTGTTCACCTTTTCCTTTTTATTAGTATCAAAGGTTTGTGGTTGGACATAAATGTCCATACTTTTCATGTTACTTCTACCTTTCCAGAGTGACAGAAACATCTGCCGATACACTTAAAATCATGTAAAAACCTATTGGAACAAATCATCCAAGACGGAGGAAGTATCCAATTGGAGTGACAATGACATTTTATTCATTTTTGCTACTTAATTCAACAAAAAAGTACCCCCACCATATTTTTAATTGCATAATCAACTGATTCAACCAGAGCACAGTCAAATAAGTTAGTGTTAGGCATTAAAAACCAGACAGATAAGGCAAATAAGCAGAAATAAGATGGCACCAAATGAGCTCTAGAAGTAAAACTACAGATTGAGCTTACCTGTTGTACGGCCACTAGCATAAAGGGAAAGAACTGCCTGAATAGCAACATACATGGCAGGGGTGTTAAAGGTCTCAAACATGATCTGTGTCATTTTCTCACGATTAGCCTTTGGGTTAAGAGGAGCTTCTGTGAGAAGCACCGGGTGCTCCTCTGGAGCCACACGCAGTTCGTTGTAGAAGGTATGATGCCATATTTTCTCCATGTCATCCCAGTTGCTGACAATTCCATGTTCAATTGGGTACTTCAAAGTCAAAATACCTCTTTTCGATTGGGCTTCATCACCAACATATGCATCCTTCTGCCCCATACCAACCATCACTCCTGTGTGACGAGGGCGTCCAACAATGCTTGGGAACACAGCCCTGGGAGCATCGTCTCCGGCAAATCCAGCCTGGTAATTCATAAATATAAACAGATCTCTACATTATTATACCAGAAGTATCCATATCTCTGCATTATTGTAATATCGGATGCGAAGGTGCTTACCTTAACCATTCCTGTCCCATTGTCACAGACAAGGGGCTGAATATCCTCACCATCTGCCATTTTCTTATTTTCTCTGAACAAACAACATCATATGGGCATATTGTCAAAAAATCATATGTGCATTTTACAGTTCCAATTTTTAAATAATTGGCAAATCAGACTGTTGAAGAAATGCCAGGAAATGATAAGATCGGTCATACAATCAATGATAAATGAACATGAGGAATCAATTCATAAATTAAATACAGACAGATAAGAAATGAATATTTAATCAGTTTATTTTTTCCTTCAAAATTAAATACTCATCCGGAGATCTACGGAACTCAATTCAAATTGCAGCAAAAGCAAATCAATTATGCACATAACAGAAATGAGACGATCCAATCCAGAGAATCCATCCAGAATCAACCGAATGAATGAACTTTAAACATTTTCAAACAAATAATCAACCGTTCGCCACAAATAACATCGACTCATCAGGTACGCAAAATTTAATGAGAACAAATGAGCTAGAAGACTCATCCAATGTTAAAACGTGAAGATCGTACCTTGCAGATTACACAACGACGACGACGATGAGCGATCAGTTTCTGCGTTTTGAGCTGGTTTCGCCCTGTTCCCCCTGTATTATTTCTCTTTGGCACCTTTATGGTGTTTTATTTTATTTTAACGAAAAGGAGAAAAATGTCTGCCTGTCACCCATGAATGTTTGAATATATATACTCCCTAGGGCCCCACAGACCGATTGGTAAGGAGTGGTAATGTAGGATTTGGTAGGAATGGAAAATCAAATACTCCGTATTTTAAATTCGGTTCGTGATTTGTAAACAAATCAAATACTTTAAATTCGGTTCGTGATTTGTATTCGAATATAAAGATTCGAATTTGTATTATTCAAATATTAGTTTTGATTTGAATATCAAACAAATACAAATACAAATAAGAGTATATTCGATTTGGGTGATATTCGAATATATGTATATACACACAAACCATTATTCAAATACCAATTCAAATTCAAATATAAGTTTTGATTTGAATATCAAACAAATACAACTACAAATAAGAGTATATTCGATTCAGGTGATATTCGAATATTCGAATATATGTATATATGTACAGACCATGTTTCAACATCAATAGTTAAACAAACTAATATAGCATAAAATACATTTAAATTACTAAGAATTCAACAAATTAACGTAACACGAGAATCTAAAACATATGATTTTTAATTGTTATATTTTATAAAATATAATTTGTGTTGGATGTTTAGATATAGTATAAGAAATATCGTAAGTGAAATTATTCAAAATCTATGTTGGTCTATCATATAAATTACGGAGTATGATTATTAAAATATTCGTTTAAGATTCGTTAAGTATTCGAATATTAATCAAATACAAATTTAAATTTTATTTTTAATTCGTCTCATATTCGGATTCAGATTTGTATTCGAAAAAATGTAACAAATACAAATACAAATATCTTGATATTCGCTTTGATTCGATTCGTTTACACCCCTAGCTCCATCTAGGGGTGGCCCTTAAGATCTAGGTTGTACTGGGATGGGTGCGGATACATGGGGACAAGGATGGATTCGTGAAACGACATTTTTAAAAATTTCAGGATGTGGGGAGTAAATTCTATAAAAAGTCCCCAATTATAAGTCATTTTAAATATTTAGTCCTTACGTATCAAATATTACTAATTTAGTCCCCAACTATTATATTCATTTCCACGAATGGTCCTTTGTTAACATTTCCGTTAAGAACGTGGATAAAATTGTAAATTCAGACTTTTTTCTCTCCCCAATTAAGCTTCCTCCCTCCTCTAGCACTCATTTCCCAAACCCGTTGCTGAGTTTGAAGCTTTGAACCCAAAATTGAAATCATCCCTCTTCTCTCAATTATTTGTCTAATTGGTGTAACCCAAATTTGAAACCAGTAACCTTCATGGAAATGTTTTAATGTTTATTTCTTTGCAATTTCTTGAGACAAATTGATAAAACTCATCTATAAAGCTTATTGGTTTGATTTTAGATTCCACTAGGAAGACTAATAATTGAGAGATACATGACCATTTCACTTTTGGGTTTAGAGCTTCAAACTCAACGACAAGTTTGGGAAAGAGTACAAGAGGAGGGAGGCATATATAGTTAGTAATATACGGAAAACGTATAATACGTAAATACGAACGTTCGTGTATAATACGTTATGATTTTATAAAATACGGCTTACTATGCATATTAAACGTTCGGTATACGGATACGTACGCGTTTTAAACGTTTTCTATTTTTAAAATACGTCTTATTATATGTTTATATATATTATCATATATACGTCAAATTTACACATATTTATCGATTGATAGTCATATAAACAAAATACAAAAATCTTTTAAATAAAATATTTACAATAGTTTTTTTCAAATTAGAATCTCTATTTATTTAACTCACGGAGACATTTTGTGCATTACTTTTTTATTTACATAAAAAATAAATGTTTAATATATTCATTATTAATATTCTTATTAATATTCTTTTTAAAGAGATGTGATTTTTGACATTATTTCTTTAACTACATCATTTGACATTAAATTATCTTCGTATAAATTTAATGGTGTCGATCATGTGATGGTACAAAATTAACGGTGTGAAAGATGATCCAAATTTAATGGTGTGAAAATAAATACAGAGTAAAAAGTACGGAGTATCAAAATATCCGATTATTTTCTTTCTTTTTTTTTTTGAAAATACAAGTGAGTATTCTTCAGATATTTGACCCAGAAAAATAAAATAGTTCTATTTTTTGTTTTTAATTTCTAATTTTAAATTTAAATGTAGTTTTTAATTTATTTTTTTGGGAAAATAATTCTCCCTCCAGTCCTCTAAACCTTTCCTGTTTTGACTTTTTTTTAGTGAAACAGTGATTTTTTTTAGTACAAATTGTGAGAGAAATATATTTAATTATAATATAAGTGCAAATTAAGCTTTACAGATAAGATTTTCAAACCATTTTCTTTCTGGGCAGCAAGCATCTCACCTAATGACGCCATCCCACCAAGTTTGCACTAATCAAAAACTGAATAATTTGACGAGAAATAAAAAGTACTATTTTCGTCCTCAAATACCCTTTTAACCTATAATTAAATAAAATATATATTGTATATTAATTAGGTAGAATAATATTTTCAAAATATCATGTATAATAAATCGAATAGAACTATTTTTGTATCAATATCTAATATCAATTTTATTTAATTTGAGACCGTAGGTTACGAATTTTGATCGAAAAAAGTCAAAAATGAACAAGGACAAAGAAAAAATAAGGTATTAAGGCCTCGCTTGGTATACGGAATTCAAACTGTGGAATTGGAATTGTAGAAATCATCCTAAATAGGACTAAAACATAGAGAAAAGTATCAAAATAAGACTTTCATGTTTTTTTTTCCGGAATAGGATTTGCATTGTGGTAATGTGGCAGTGTACGTGTGCAAATTATTATACTTTTTTGGTAATGTATATGACCATGTTTGGTAATATAAGTCTTATTTCGAGAATAAAAACATGGAAGTCCTATTTTGGTATATTTTCAATGTTTTAGTCCTATTTTGGTCTTTCTCCCTTGGAATTGAGGGCTTGAATTCCAATTTTCGTGTTTAGTAGTACAAAAATTATGTGGTTTTAGAATTAGTAATGCAAAAAATGAATTGGAATTGATGAATTTAATTCTATGAAATTGAATGTGGTTTTAGAATTAGTAATGCAAAACCAGCCGTTTTTGAGACGGAAGTAGTATAAAAATTTAATATATCAAAATGTACTACATCTTAAAATAAATTCAAGGATAACAAATTCATAATATAATAAAAAATCACAATTTATAACTAAAGTGATAATAAAAGTCAAAGTATGACCTTAATTTTTGGACAGGGTGTAGTACTTTTTGTTCCGCGATTACGGCTTTGTTTGGTAACATCGTTTTCAATTAGCGTTAGCATTTTGGATAAAATTTTAACAGTGCATATTAATTCTGAAAATGCTAACGCTAAAGACTACCATCGGATAGCTTTTACAAAACGCTAACGCTAATCTCTGACGCTGATGCCAAACGGGGCCACAACTCCGATGAAAATGAGTGTGGGACCCCTGAATATTGCTGGCTCCCTTTTGAACTCATTTTTGCTGTAAAGATGAATGCAACCCACCAAAGGACCAAAAAGTGTTCTGTTTTAATCAAAGAAAACTACACTTTAGCCCTCGTAATCTGTGAAATTCCACTCCATATGTCAATTTCAAACATTTATTTTTAAGGACAAATTATCTCAAATAATCTCATATTTTCATACTTTTTAAAAAATAATCTCGTTTTTCACTGTCACCGGAAGTAATCTCATATTTTCGCATGTGTGCGAGTTTTGGATCGCCGTTAAAAAACTAACGGTCACTTAACATAATTTTTGAAAAATGCTTGTTTTTCGCAAATTAATGAAAAGTTGATTATTTTAGGTAAATTCTATTTTTTGTTTTTAATTTCTAATTTTAAATTTAAATGTAGTTTTTAATTTATTTTTTTGGGAAAATAATTCTCCCTCCAGTCCTCTAAACCTTTCCTGTTTTGACTTTTTTTTAGTGAAACAGTGATATTTTTTTAGTACAAATTGTGAGAGAAATATATTTAATTATAATATAAGTGCAAATTAAGCTTTACAGATAAGATTTTCAAACCATTTTCTTTCTGGGCAGCAAGCATCTCACCTAATGACGCCATCCCACCAAGTTTGCACTAATCAAAAACTGAATAATTTGACGAGAAATAAAAAGTACTATTTTCGTCCTCAAATACTCTTTTAACCTATAATTAAATAAAATATATATTGTATATTAATTAGGTAGAATAATATTTTCAAAATATCATGTATAATAAATCGAATAGAACTATTTTTGTATCAATATCTAATATCAATTTTATTTAATTTGAGACCGTAGGTTACGAATTTTGATCGAAAAAAGTCAAAAATGAACAAGGACAAAGAAAAAATAAGGTATTAAGGCCTCGCTTGGTATACGGAATTCAAACTGTGGAATTGGAATTGTAGAAATCATCCTAAATAGGACTAAAACATAGAGAAAAGTATCAAAATAAGACTTTCATGTTTTTTTTTTCGGAATAGGATTTACATTGTGGTAATGTGGCAGTGTACGTGTGCAAATTATTATACTTTTTTGGTAATGTATATGACCATGTTTGGTAATATAAGTCTTATTTCGGGAATAAAAACATGGAAGTCCTATTTTGGTATATTTTCAATGTTTTAGTCCTATTTTGGTCTTTCTCCCTTGGAATTGAGGGCTTGAATTCCAATTTTCGTGTTTAGTAGTACAAAAATTATGTGGTTTTAGAATTAGTAATGCAAAAAATGAATTGGAATTGATGAATTTAATTCTATGAAATTGAATGTGGTTTTAGAATTAGTAATGCAAAACCAGCCGTTTTTGAGATGAGAAATTGAAGAATAAAAAATTTGGACCATTTCTCGATTTGTGCGTGTCATCCTTGCGCAGGGGCCATGCTAATCTTCTCTGTATCGTTCCAATTTTATCGGATGTCCCCGAAGGGACGCTCATCACAGCGAGGCTGGAGTATATGAACAAAAGACTGTTTACTTTGTATTCCGGTGTGGGATTAAAAACTGGCTTTCTTCTGTTCGGAATATGCATTCATCAGCT